CTGTTGCAATTTAAAAAGGTTTAGCAATTTGGATATGAGTATCATGGAAAAGGACCTATCTTTCAGACATTTTTCTTTTAATGCTCTCTATAAAGAGTTGTATGCTGTCAGGTTTATCATCCTTTGGCAGCTGCTCTGTAAGTTGAAGGAGTTTTTGGCCCAACTCAAGTGCCTAAAATGTGACAAAAAACAAAGTCATATATATGTTAGTTCAAGCTAAATCACATTTTTATTTCTTTCACTGCTTCATCTCCAGTATGGTAGCCCTCATCTAACCAAGCTGGCTCTTCCCAAATAAAGTCCCAATATTTTCAATTAAAACTAGTCAGATTCAGGTTAAAGAATAACTAAAGACATTTTTTAGTTATCGATAGAGTGGAGAGGAATTAGAACACCTGTCTTTTTTTATTGCTAGCTGTACCCCCATTAGGGAGATTCACCCTTTCTATTTGTCCTATTTACCATTCTCATTGAAAGTGAAAGTAAAGGAAAATATCAAATTTTGGGTTGTGCCCAGAAAAGTAATAGAGGGGGAATCTTCCACTGGTAACATGGGGGTCTCCAATGGATTCCGTTAATTTGTATGGATTTCTTATCACTTCCTGTTTTGGCCGTGGGACAGGAAGTGATGGGAAATCCTCCCAATAGGACACGGCAAAAAAAAATAAGGGTTATAACCCTCCCTTCCAAAATGGAAAAAAACATTTTGCCTATAGTTCTACTTTAAACTATCCTGGAGTAAGCAAGTGGCTTCTATCTAGGGTTGTCTTCTGAACCAAGCAATCAGGTGTCCAGTTCTAAAACTGCTTTGCAGAGTCTCAGGTTTGGGCTTGCTATACAGCAAATTTGTCTGCCTTCCCCATGCATCAATGTAATTGCTTTCAGTTTAAGAGGTGTCCCAGTTCTGTGTATCTTGTGTAAATTAAAGTGTTACTAAACCTAGGACCCTGCATTCACTATATCTGTTCTCCCATAGTACACTGAACACGGAAATGCAATTATTTTAGTAAATATAAACTGCTAAATGCCTTTTCTCATCAGCAGTATATAGCAGTCTTGTGACTTCTATCTGTGTCCAGCCAAGCACTGGTTAAAGCTTGTAGGAGGAGTTTTCATTCTCCTCTGACTGTCCTACGAGGCTGCATGACCCCTGACCCTCTTTCTGGACAGTGCTGACTGGCTCTGTGACGATCACATGCACACTCCAAAAAAAAAAAAAAATATGTCTAGCAATCCACACCAAACTGAGCATGTGCAGAGTGTCTCATTGGGCTCTGTTCTATCAGCAGATGGATGGGGGACAGTAGAAGAAGCAGAGGATCAGAGAAGACAGGATCAAACAGCCTTTTTATACAACGTGGAGGATTAACCCCTTAGGAGTCACAGTGAGTATAACAAGTATGCTTTACTGCATATACAGACTGATTTTACTGTTGTGGGTTTAGTAACACTTTAAACCTGCAAACATTGTTTGCAAACTTTATTCATAAATATACTGTATCTATATTGTAAAATGTTACATTGTATTTTTCTTAGTATTTAGGTGCAGAACCAAGTTCTTTAATCTGTACATGTTAGGTCCTGCCAAACTACAAACATAAAAAAAAAAACAATATTTGTTTTTAAACAAGTTGTTCCTTATTAATTCTTCTAATTTTGTTTCATTTGCTTTGCTAGTTTTTGTAGTATCACATTTAAAAATTCATATTTGAAAAAAAAGCCTTGTTAATTGTAAAAAACCTTTACCAGAAACATGATTTTTTTTTCAAAGCAGGACAAATTTCACAGTTATTGCATTTGCAAAAGAAAACTGATGAGTTATGAACTACTTTAGTTTCCAGACTGAAGAAAATAAATTGTGAATCATATTGTTAAAGTGAAAATAAAGGTTCTGATGTTTTTAAAAAAATATAACATGTCATACTCACCTGCTCTGTTCAATGGTTTGCACAGAGCAGCCCCGATCCTCCTTTTCCCGGGTCCTATGCCGGTGCTCTTGGCTCCTTCTCCTGCTGAGTGCCCCAGAGCAAGTTGCTTGCTCTGGGGGCACTCATGTGTGCTTGCTCCTAAGCCTCCTCTGGGTGTCCCCACGCCGTTCTCACTGGCTGTGATTGACAGTCAAAAGCTCATACTGCTGTGTCTAAGCCAATGAGGAGGGAGAGAAACATGAAAGCTGCTGCTCTCTTGCACATCGTTGGATCGAGATGGGGCTCCAGTAAGTATTAGGAGTGGCTGAGGGGGGATCTGCACACTGAAGGTGTTTTACCTTCTGTAGCAATTGTACATACAGAGATGGATGCGAACCACCTCCATTTTGCCAAAGGCCCTCCATCTTGTATCATTTCTACTCCAAATCAGCTTCCCCCTCCCTCTCTGTTTAGTGACATGTGATCCCTGTGTGCTGGGTTCAGAAGTGCACAGGCAATCAGGCACAGCGGGACAGATTCATGGTTATAAATCCCAAATTAGCTGGTGCCTGGGTGTCTGTTAGCTTCTCAATCTGAGATAATCATAAAGCCATAAACCAGTCCTTCACTGGACATCAAACGCCTAAAACACCCCTCCCCAAATTAGGCGATTGGTTCTCTGCTGGAAGGAGACACCCTGTTGAGTTCCTAGAAAAAGGCTGTCAGGTTGGGAGAAGGGAGTTGAAGAATTCTCCTTTTTAACATCGGAACCAACTTGGGTGACGGTACCCTTTTGCTCTGAAACTTGATCTGCTTAACCCAGGACTTTTGGCAAGTACTCTACCTCTCTAAACTTCTTTATGTTATCCCTTTGCTCTGTTATTGCTCACTGTATTTAAATATATATATTGGCTACATCTTTTTTTCTGTAAATATGTTTATTGCACCATTTTGACCTTTTTAGTAATAAATCTTATTTTCTGAAAAGTGTTGAACTGTTTCTAAAGCTCTTTAATGCAAACTAAGAATCCCTTTCTCTGAAGAGCGCTACTGTGTGTTTTTAAACCTCTATATACCTCTGCCTGCAGTGACAGTGATATACAGACGATTATTCAAACATCATAGTGTTATTGCTAATATTGGTGAGTTTCCTCCTTTTCTCTACAAAAAGGCGGGTGGTGGCAGTGTGAAGGGTTAATTGTGTAATTAACCTGACCCAGTAAACAATTGCTCTCAGGCTGCAGGTACATAGATTGTGGTCCATTAGCTGGAAAATCTTTGCGCAGGGTGCAGCTGAGCGTGGCATTGTTACGCACATGACAGCGCGGTTTTAGATTGGCTAGTCTTTCAGTCATGAGTTGGTGAGAAAGGCTGGGGGTCTGACGCCGCGATCGTCACACCTTCATGCATAAAATGCATGAAAGTAAAATACTTTTAGCCTTTAGAACCACTTTAATGAAAACCTGGTTTTGTTTTACAGTGGTATTGTGCTCATTAATACAAAGCTGCACTGGTTTAACCACACCTTTTGAGCCATGTCCACTTTAGATATACTACACCCACTTTTACTTATCCACTGTCATGGTCAGGGGTCAGGCTCAAAGACCAGAAGCTATAGCAGTAGAGATACTCCCACCGACCAGCAGGATAGATATACAAGCAATTCACCCTGCTGGATGAAGCAGCAGGCTCACACAAGGTCTAAGCACTAACTGGTATTCACCAGAGCTCCTGATGATGGAGATGGGTTTTGCTGCATGTTAGTACCTGTTTGCGGTTCTCAGGATCATCCTACCATGAGGTGAGCAAGCCGTGGTCCAGTAGCAGATAGCAGGTTGGGATCAAACAGAAGTGTAGTCAAGGAGCAAGCCAAAGGTTGGCAACAAGTGGCAAGATAATGGCTAGAGAGAGCACAACAATCTAGAAAGCAGGAAGTGCAAAGGCATGGCTTTAATAGGCATGGGTAGAGCAAAAGGTTCAAGGTTGAAGAAAAACAAGACACAAAGCAAGGGTGTCCTAAGGGTTCAGACAGGGTACCATCCAACATCTCAGGTGACTCAGCAAGAAGAGTTACTGCCAGACACAGAAGAAGTCCTTAGTTCACATCCTCATTCCCATTAGGTTTTTCATGGACTGAGAGGTGGCAACCCTACTTCTAACCCAGTAGATATAAATCCTAAATGAATGCCAGTTGGTGTGCTAAAGCACTCTGCATCATAAATAACTGTCATTTTAAATAAACTACTTGTTTACAACTTCTTTTACATCCTTTGTTGTATCTCAGTTCTGGTGATCTCCTGCAGTCTCTATGCAGCCGATTTCCATCTAAGAGCTCTCCAGCAGTGGCTGCATGGCATTTCTAAGGGAGAATATCCTGATGATGAGAACAGTGGGCCATGTCTTTATAATGTGTTGGAATGACTGCTTGTAGTCCCCATTAGAAGCCTGTGTGACAACACAGAAGCACATTTGGGAGACAAAGAGCATTCTCACCATAAAACAGGAAGTGCCTGAAGAAGGTATTTCATAGTGGGATCACCAGTTTAATTTTCAAGCCCCACTCCATGATTAAAAAAATGGCTATTTTTACTTACCCTAACCTGAGGTCACATGATGCCATAGCACCAGGTCTTCTTCTCTTCTGTTTACTTCTTGCTTGGGGTTCTTCTTTAGATGTCCACATCACTGCCTTTGTGAAGTGGATACTTCCTATTGGATGGCTGCTTGTGGGGTCCTCTTAGATGAAAGAAGAGGATTGCCATCATCACAGGGGGATGGTAGGGGACTCTTGATCTCAGAGAACCATTGAACTGCCAGCTTAGAATTCCAGTGTGCTGGAACTGGTGGCCATAAGGGACTTGGATGGAGAACTTAGGTAAGCCTTGCAGGCTTCACCAGATAAGGGAAAAGAGACTGTTGGCATAGGTTGGTAAAAAAATGAGTTATATCCTGGAGGGGGGCTTTACGTTATTACTGAAAGATGCAAATACAAATACTGAAAATTATATTTAACATGACTTTAACATGCTAAAGCTTATATGAGATTTTAGCGATTGGGTTTACATAGAGAACATAGATATACTGTATACAAATTTAGGAATATTTTATTTGGAAAGACAATCTATAGGCCAATAGTTTAAATAACAAATCTTTAGGGGGAAGACTTACCACCTTAAAATCCACTCTGAGATAGTGCAACATAGCCAGGGCATGTAGAACCTTGGCTATCTTGGCTGGCTCTTTCTTTGCAGCCTGTTCTCTGATGTCATAGATAGCACTGAGTATCTGAAGAGCTTCTGCCTCTTGGTTTTCATCTATGGCAAGGACATTGCAACAAATCAGAATAAACTGATCAGTGACATAGATGTATTCTAATAACTTCAAATAGCTGCTGCTAATAATCTGACAAAGTCTATCTAAAGCAAAGAAAAAACATTTTGGCTGGAGTTTTGCTTTAAGGAGAACTATTTCTCTTAAATGAAAGTATATCTAAAGCCCAATTTTGTTTCTAGTGTTGGATACAGTAGATTAAGTACAGATTTATAGTAAACTGCTGTAAAGCTGTAATTGGCTGGAGGTACTGGTTAGGCTGCACATGCACAAAAAGGGCAAAGGAAAATGCTTTAGACATAATCCATGACAGATATTAGAGAGGAAGAACCAAAGAACCATACAAATGGGTGTAGTCTGAATGTTAATATTGCATCATAGTATAAAAACCAAACCAGTGCATTTTGGGGTTCTATAGGACCCTCTCATCAGAGTTCAATATACTGGTAAAAACTGGACTGGAGCAATGTCAAAGTGGAAAATGTTAAAAGGTAAAAAAGTAAAATATGAGTCTCTGTGAGAAGGCAGGCTTCAGGTGTAAATGAGCTGTCAAAGCTTGCTTTCTAACAAATACTCATACTCAATTTTTATACCTTTTAATCTTTTCCAGTCTGGAATCTCTCCAGTCCAATTTTCACCAACATATTAAGCCACGATGAAGAGGGTCCTTTAGAGTCCTAAAACAAGTTAGCTTGTTTTTTTTTGGATATGCCTTAAAGAAACAAAAATATTTGTTGTATAGCTTCTTCTCTTTTAATTCTCTTTGGTTCATATTTCTGTCTGCGTCCCATTAGGGAGATGCCTTCATTGGTCCGGATACACACCAAGAAGTTCAAATGAGGTGAAAGTCTCTCTTAGCTGTCACTGGAACAGGAGTCTCCATTAGAACATTAAACAGTAAAAACTGTAAAGTTTTAGATTTCCAAGGACCACTGTCAGTAGAGAGGGTGAACCTTCCCAACAGGGACACAGATAGCAATAAAAACTTTTAACCCTTCCTTATGAAAAAAGTTTTGGCTTTGGATACTTTACAGGACGCACCAAGTTTGTTCTTTTTCTAAGGGTGTCCATTGACATTAGACAACGGTTTTATGCAATAATTTAGTAGCTATGTGTCCTCCACATGTGATGGTTAGGAAACTCTTTACTGGTCTCTCCTCCTCCATTGCCAAAACAGGAACTATTGTTTGATCAGAGCATTCCAGTTCAGAGCATAAATAAGACCAAGAGACAAGACAATTCGTCTCTGGCTGTTCCATGAAGTTCATGACCAGCTTTACCCTGGTTTGGGTTACTAAGCTTGGGAACCAAGCTTGGAAATTCCTTCAGGAAGGAATCTTGTACTTACTAACTGTACAACCTACGTTTGTTACCCCTAAGCCCCCCATACTAGTTCCCAGGTGTAATTCTGATGCAGCAGCTTCAGTCCTTTCTCTACCAACTTTACCTTCAGTACCTTTTGGTCACCAGCTTGGAAAAAGTAGATCTGGAGCTCTGGCTTCAAATTAACTTTCATAATTTGTATCTCAAAAGGCATTAGAGCCACAACCACACAAGTGCCTAGCATTTTTAGGAACAGGTCAATATTATCAGCCTTCATATTCCTTTCATGAACAGGTTTCCTTTAAGGCTGAACGCTGGGCATAGCCCCCACCTCTAACTAATTGCTAGGTTCTTTTTTTTTTATATATTAAATTCCTATTCAAAATGCCAGAAATTCATGGTCACTTGATATGTTGGGTCCTGAGTCTTCCATCTTTTTCCCTCAGAGCAGGGTTTTTCTTTGAGTGTCTGGGTGACATGGATGCTTCCTTTTTCTTTTCCTTTCACCAGGGTCTTTCAGGATCCAGAAGAGTGCAGTGGTGAGAGGACATCACTAACAGGCAACTGGTTGACAGCAGAGCTGGATCTACCAGTCACTACTCATGGAATCGGTGTCAGCCTGGGACACGGATGGCAGGGTTGAGTACATAAAAGTCTACTAGGCATTTATTGCTATAATATCTGCTGCATGGGTGGAATAGGAGAAGGAGCTTTCCCCAGAGATGGGCTTTAATTGCACTCCTGAGTGCTTGGGGAAGTATATTAGCACCCTTCACTCCCCATGATAGAAAAATTCTGCAGCAAAATCTTACCACAAACTAATACTTATTGTCATCACATACATACAGATTGTTTTGGAAAGCTATGTACACATTTTTTGACTCCTATGGCAAGGATTATTACCAATGCCTTCTTGATCGCTGTTATCAAACCAAACAGAACCACTTCTCATTGAAGACCTTATCTGAACGTCAACCAATCTGTACAGGTGAGTGTGCCATATATCCGTCACCTGGAATAAAAACAATCCAGGGTCATGATGATGATGATGATTAATATACAGTATATACAGTACATTCAACAGCTTAGAGCAGACCTCCAACTTCAATATTAATAATTAAAGTGGTATAAAAGTAATTTCCTTCCAAACCAGATGCTAATATTATATTTGATTTTTTTGAGGGATTGCGGTAATGAACTGTGGTGGTGGAAGCGGCGTGTGGGGGTATGGGGATGGTATTATGGTAATGAGCTGTGGTAGTGGCAGAGGAGGGGGCTGCTGGTGGGGTGGTGGTGCTCCTAATTTTAGTGTTGCCTAGGGCAGCATATGAAATAAATACACCAATATGTGTATTCAAACATTGAGCAGTTACATGCAGGTAGGGACATATCATTGGCCCTGGACACACATAGATTTATAGGAATAACACTGCAACATCATTCAGTTTTCAACATTAATTTCAACTATCATGAACCACACAAATGAACCATACAAATGAAATAGATTTTAAATATGTAGGAGTTTCTGACATGCAAAGCTGACCTACCTCAGAATACAGAGAATCAGCGATGTCCATTTTATTCTGCCGGAAAAAAACATTGGCCATATGGAAGTATCCTCCTGCAGTGCTGATGTCACTAGGTCCTGAGACTGTGCTCGCATAGTAAATCTGAGATGGATAAAATGCTTATATTCATGATTATGTAAATACAGTCAGGCTTCTTTAATAGGATGAAAATCAAAAATACTCACCGTACTGCTTAACATACAAAATGTATATGTCAGATATAATACAGATTTCTAGAAGTATTAGGAAGAGTTTGGGGGAGATTTATTAAAACTGGAGCACTCAGAATCTGGTGTAGCTGTGCATGGTAGTCAATCAGCTTCTAACTTCAGCTTGTTCAATTAAGTTTTGGAAATAAAACCTGGAAGCTGATTGGTTTCTAAGCAGAGATTCTATGCAGATTCTGCACATTTCATTTTTAGTAAATGTCCCCCTTTGGGTGAGGGTTACGATGAGGGATAGTATAAGGGTTGTAAAAAAGGATTAGCATATTACAGGTATGGCTACATTGAGGGTTAGTGTGCAGGTTACAGAGAGGGTTAGTGTGTTAGGATTGCAGGGAGGCATAGTGTTGGGATTAAAGGGAGGGGTTGTGTTGGGATTACAGGGAGGGTTAGTGTTAGGATTAAAGGGAGGGGTAGTGTTGGGATTACAGGGAGGGGTAGTGTTAGGTTTACATGGAGGGTTAATATTAGGTTTACAGGAAGGGTTAGTTATAGGATTACAAGGAGTGTTAGTGGTAGGATTACAGGGAGGGTTAGTGGTGATTTTATAGGAGAGTTAGGATTACAGGGAGGGTTAGTGGTAGTTTTACAGGACTGTTAGGATTACAGGTAGGGTTTAGTGGTAGAATTCCATGAAGGATTACAGCAAATTAAAAAACCTCCCCTGCTAGTTTATGTAGCATCCCTCTAGATAGCCAAGGGGAGCTAGCTAGTTTTTTTTTGTTAGGAAGGCTGCGTAACAGCCTTGGCAATAGTCAGCTGGGTCACCTTTAGGTCAGGGCTGAGAGGCTCTGCAGATCAGTTCCCTGACACCTCCCCCTGCTCTAGAATCTTGGACAAAAGTCTAGAAGCAGTGAACAGGGGAGAAGAGGAGCTGGCCTGCACACTTGAAGGACTTTGGTCAATCCCCAAGCAAGAGGCTTTGCATGGGGCCAAGGCAGCCTTTATGTGTGACTGGGCCTGCTCAGCAGCAGGAGAGTTTGGGTGGAATATGTGAGGAAAACTGAGATGTAGGAGCCTGGGAGGGGGCCCAGTGGGAAGGAGTCTACCTACAGGCCGAGACCTGGAAAGGAGGATCACTCAGCCTCATCGCTTCCTGGAGGGAGGACCACCCATGGAGCCAGGGAAGGAGCCAGCCCAGAAGAAGGCCTGAAGGCAGCCACCAACCCAACCAGCTCACAGGAAAGGACTGAGTTAGTAATCCAATACCCCCTGGGCCAGACAAGGGGAGAGGGCATTCTGGTGGGAAACCTGACTAGCTCTACACCTGGGACTGTTACATTTAAAGTGTCAGCTTTGGATCCCCTTGCCCAGGGTTTTCACCCAGTACAGCTGGATGAGAAGAGGATTCATCTTGGGTCTGGGGTGGTACACCAGAAGAGGCTCTCCAAGAAGAACCTTTTTTGCTGTACAGAGCTTCAAGGACGTTGTCCTCAGTTACAGTTCCCTTGGTCATCCCATACACCCCTCAACCCCATCCAAGTTCAACACCCCTAATAAAACTTAAAATCCAGCTCAAGGACTGTTTTACTTTCTTCATAGTGCAAGTCTGTGGAAAATATGTGTTGCCTGGCTATGCAGGACTATAGGGGACCCAAATCTTCAGAGACTCCTAAGGGGGTAGTGCTACATTTATATATTAGATTTAAAAAAAACAACTAGGGGCCAGGGCCCTCCCTGGTGATGTGAAGGCTTCCTAATGGCTGTCCATCAGCATATTTCTCATAGGGTTCTGAAGACTCCTGCGATAGCATGATGATGTCAGGACAAGATTGGTTGGTTGAAGGCTTAAACTGTAAAGATCAATCATAATTTTGCCTTGTGGGTGATCCAACTCTGCCTCCAGCAGCTGGAGACTCATGTTATTGCACAGGGATTTAAGTATGCATGCTTTATGTATCAGCATGGACTTTAGAGTAAGACCCCCAAAACTACGAGCCTAGTATAAGCATAAAGATCATGGTGTCAGGACATATATGTGCCACTGGTATCGTCTGGTACCAATCATAATTGGGCCTGGGCACTATCTGCCCATTTATGCTCAAACTTAAAGTGAAGGTGTCATAGAGCAATTGACTACAAATGTTAGCTCTGTGCCTGTTTTGTTTACTGTCTGGCTTCAATAGAATGTAGATAAAACCTTCTCATTTTTCTCTGACTCTTTGGATCTGCATATTGTTCTAGGTATATACCCCAAAGTAATAATGGTAGAAGGTCAGCATATTGGAGGTCAATTTGCATTTTTAGAGGGAGGACACCTGCATATTTCCCTATGACAGGCTTATCTTAGAATTGGTAAAATCTTACCTTAAGGATCATATCATACTGGCAATTCTGTCACTGGAAAATACTCATCCACAGCAGAATATCTTTAGAGGACACAGCAATGAGTGAAAAAACTCACCTTCTTGTAGACGTCACTACTTTACAAACTGCAGGAGCGAAGTGGCACTTTCTAGCTGACAGTTTTTCAGCATTTTTTGCAGCAAGGAAGCACTCCCAAAGCCAGCAAGGGAACACCATCTACAAAGCAGGTATGTGTCCTCCCTGTATTTTCAAGCAAACCTGTTGCCAGTGAATACTCACTAGAGACAGGCTCATTAGTGTGACATTTGCCTTACCTCGATTAATAATAATAATAATAAGTAATAATTATAAATACTAATTATTATTATTAATATTCATTAGTAATAATTGTCAAATTCACGTGCTGAGTAGAAGACTGATCCACAGAATTTTATTGTAAAATTAAATTAAAATAGCAAGTTTAATTTCAAAATTAAACATTTCAGTGACAGGTTAAACGTGGAAATTTAATAAAGATTTAAAAAAGAAGACACTTTTATAATCCACAGCCATGAACAGTCAGTCCTCCGAAGCGTTCAATGTCATGTTTACAATAGTAAGAACACAACAGATGAAATCAGCAACTGACCTTCACTATGTTGCCGCATTAAAAGCCATAACACTTTAATAATTTACCCTTAATTACCTTTGCTATCCCAGAATTGCTGCTGAAAGTGACTTACTGATGGCTCGCTGTGCCTTGTTAGCATGACGTTTTGGCTAAGGTATGCTGGTGTGACATTGTTGAATACTGAGGGCAGTATTCAAAATTCTATGCTCTTGCATGTATTAAAGTAAAACATCAGGTTATTTATTTATAACACTGCAGGGGTTCTCAGCAAAGGATACTTGGAACTCTTGGAGTACATTCAGATATACTGTACCAGGGAGTATTTACATCTAATACGGCTGCCTTATTATCTGCTCCCCAATTAGTGAGATTGGTGTTTGAGGTTAACTTGTAAATTCAGTGTGTAGCTTTGCAAACAAAACCTAATTACACTAACGTCATTAGAGAGGTGGCGCAGTGATTCCTCAAACTCTCCCTTGGCAGAGTACAGAAGGCCGAGATTCCGGTGCAGTTTGGATCGGATGAGATTGCTGCAGTCTGTAGTTTTTAGTACAGTCCAGTAAGCATGAGACAGGTACTCCTCGGCCTGTGTTAAATTTCCCAGACCTACATAATGAAAGAAGGTAAGAAAATTATTTGCAGAAGACTTCTGGTTTACCAATCAGTCTATGGGGTCAATTAACTAGCGGTTACTGCAGGTGATAACATGGTCACGTGGCTAATTTGCATGAGTTATTGCATGTGGTAAAAAATGTCCAATTCGCAAAAAAAAAATAATGATTATGCGTTATTTAACACATGTGCTGGTAAATATCACAAAAAAATCATGCGGTAAGCTGTTAAGTCCAATTCAAAAATGATTGAACTAAGCCCTAGTAGTAAACGGGCAGACTGACCATTCGAGCACTCGGGCACTGCCTGAGGGCCCGAGGTCAGTAGGGGGCCCCATGAAATGCCAAAATAACAAATCTATTCTGGACAAGGGTGCGTGTCCCTACGCACCATCTGGCCAATTGATGAATCTAAAATATAACCTTTATTCAGATCAATATAAAATGTATGCTAAGTTACACCATTCTTTTATCAAGCTGTACTTAATGCCTATTGAAGTGGAATGTACTGCGAGCAGTATGACTGGATACCATTACAATTATTTACCTTACATCCAAATGGTTAATAACACCATACCAGATCAAATACCATACCGCTTTAGATTAAGTTGTGGCATAAAGAAGACACGGTAGTTTGATCATAAATTTATCAGATGGAATATATAATCTCTATTAAGGAGATAAAGTTACCCCATGGACAGAACTAATTGGATAGTATAATCTGTCTTGCTACAGATATGCTGCTAGCGGAAGCTGCCAGTCTAATTGATCAGTCCTTTGTGCAGGTTATACTCACATACACTCATCCATGGGCCTTAATGTCAACCTCTCATGGACAAGCCCCATATATTACTATATCCAGTCAAAAATACCTCATTATCTTGAGGAATACAATTGATGCACTATAAAGCCTAGTACAGACCACTCCAAAAACGGAAGGGGGAGAGGAGTAAATACCATGTGCATTCAAAAAGTGCTCCCAAAGAAAGACCCAAAGAAAAGAAAAAAAGAGAAACTCTTCATGTTTCGCTCCAAAAAACAGAGCTTCGTCAGGAGCATAAAGAATTAAAATAGGTCACATAGTGGCTGGAAGTTGTTCTCAGTTTCACATGGTGGCAAAATGGCACCTATCGTTTGTTTCACACACACACACACACACACACATATATCTATCAATTGGCCAGGTGACAATTGATATATATATCCCGAAGGGACATGCTCCCTCGTTCAGCATTGACCAGGGGTCTCCAAACTTTCTAAACAAAGGGCCAGGGGCCAGTTTACTGTCCTTCAGACTTTACAAGGGCTGGACTGCGGCCAGTGAGAGTAGAAAAGGTCCCAACGTCAGTGGGAAAAAAATAATGCCCCATTGTTTGGTGCCAGTGGGAGGAATTTTGTCCCATAATAAATGTCATTGGACCCTATCATTTGTGCGACTGGGAGGAATTGTGCCTTATCGTTGGTGCCATTGGAAGGAGTTGTGCCCCCTTTATTGGTGTAAGTGGGAGGAATTATACCAGATTGTTGGTATCAGTAGGTGAAATAGTGTCCCAAGGGCCAGATAGAAGCAAGCAAAGGGCCGCATCTGGCCCCTGGGCCGCAGTTTGGAGACCACTGGCATAGACCAATTCACAAAAGAAAAGTAAAAAAAAATGCAATATTTACCACAGGGTACCACCAGGCAATATTACATGTGGTATTATTTCAGAGCTGGTTGTTAAGGGAGTCGGCAGCTGAGCCCTTAACAACAGATGACTCAGCAGCTGTCAGTGGGAAACCTTATCTGAGCATGCAGCCCAGCAGAACAAGAAAGGGGGGGATGAACAAGCACCCCCCTCCTGAACCATACCAGGCCATGTGCCCTCAACATGGGGGGTGCATTGGGGCAGGGGGGGGGCTCCCCACAACCTTGGCCAGTGGTTGTGGGGGTCTGCAAGCGAGTTGCTTATCAGAATCTGGAAGGGGGACCCCAGATCCCGCCCCCACCATGTGAAATGTGAATTAGTATGGGGTACATGGTACCGCTACTCATTCATCCAAAAAAAGTTACATAGTTAGTCTGGCTGAAAAAAGACAAAAGTCCATCCAAAAGTGTAGTGTAAAAAACCACAGTAGGCAGTCTTTGACAAGTCCTACAAAAATGAAAAAAAAAAACTGTCTCCCGGTGTAGATCCATCGTCAATCACAATGCCCGCCGCAAACCCTCCCCCGCAAAAAAAGGCTCAGCTCTTGACATTGGCTCCTGCCATTTGACAGCTCCGCCAGCCCTTAAATATCTAAGGGGTGGGGACACCCAGTGACATCACCGGTTGACCCCCCCCCCCCTCGTGACGCCATCTACCCAGCATGCCCTGGTCGATGACATCAAAAGGGGGGTCACCCAGCCCCATCACCGGATGCCTCCACCCGTTAGATATTTATGAACTGTCAGGCCAGCAAAGCTGTCAGACGGCAGGAGCCAGTGTTGAGATCGGAGCCTTTTTTTTTTCTTTTTTTCGGGTCGGCAGTGGCGAGCATCATGATTGATGATGGATCTACACAGGAGAACAGTTTTTTATTTTGAGTTTTTTTAAATCCTCCCCCATTGTCATGAACTATGTATAATAACGCATCTGTTAGAGCATATCTAAATTTTCCACTAACCCTCAATGCAAGGGGCCAGTTCTCCACAGACCACTAATCACACAGCACACTAATCTTAGAGGACATCACAATATTCACTATCTAACTTACTTTTCTGTAGTTATTATTCATTTGAAGAATGATTCGTAACAAAATTACTGCCCTGGGTGTCAAATACACTAGATAAACCACATTTTTTAATATTTTATTTAAAGCTTTCTTCTGCTTAGTAATCACGCTACCATGTAGCTGTAGGTATAATCCTTTTTAGCAGGGGTTGCCCAAGAAGCTAAAATTATTACATAGGTTCCTCACGGGTTAAAAGGGATGAGAAAGGCTGCTCTACAGGGTTTCTGAACTTATTCTCTTGGACAGGAGTGTCTTGTAATTGGGTCTCTTAATCTCCTCTTAATGATGAGATACTGGTGGAGGTGGTTTGGCACATCAACTGAAAGGAAGCCCCAGGATCAAATCAGGTATTATATCTCCTAGCTGGTCTAGAAATGCCCTTAAAAGAACTGGAAGTAGCTGAGTACTAAGACCAGACCAGAAGTCAATTCCGGTATACACAAGTAGCCTCTGACGCTGCTACTACAAGATTAAATGGGCAAAATCTAAAACAGGGAGAAAGGTTCTATCACCCATATAATATGGATGTGATTATAGCTCCAAGGGTTACAAGAGGTTGTTGATGGTAATGTTCTTGCAAAAGTGATACAACAATTTACCAAAAATGGAATTGCAACCATCTCACAGAGACATCCAGGCTGCCCACGGAAGTTAATACCTCAACAGGAGCATCTTCTGATGAGAAGGGTTGAAGTAAATCACCATGCAAGTTCACTGCAGTTAGCTAAAGAAGTAGAAAGCCAATCTTGTTTCCCGTGAGACATACAGCGTACACTGCATAGGAATGGCATGCATGCGTGTTGTCCATGAAGGAAGCTTCAGCTAAAGCCCATGCACAAAAAAGCCCACCTAGAATTTTCCAGGGCCCATGCTGAAAAAGAAGAAGACTTCTGGGACTCTGTACTCTGGAGTAATGAGACCAAGATAACTGTTTTCAGAATTGATGACTTCAAAGCTGTATGGCTTTGCAAAGATGAGGAGTACAAAGAAAAATGCATGGTGCCTACAGTGAAACATGGTGGTGGGAGTGTCCTTCTGTGGGGCTGCATGAGTGCTGCTGGTGTTGGTGAGGAGCTGCATTTCATTCATTGATGGTATCATGAATTCACAGATGTACTGCTCCATATTGAAAGAGAAGATGCTACCATCACTCCATGCACTTGGTCATTGTGCACTTTTCCAAAATGACAATGATCCAAAACACACACGTAAGGCCACTGTTGAATTCGGAAGAACAGCGTGAAAGTGATTCAGTGACAAAGTATATCTCCTGATCTGAACCCAATCGAACACCTATGGGGAATTCTGAAGAGACAGGTTGAGCATCACTCTCCATCCAGCATCCAGGCTCTAAAAGAGGTCATTCTTGAAGAATGGAAAAAGATAGATGTTGCAATATGTCGCCAACTTGTTAATTCCATGCCTAGAAGACTTAGTGCTGTTCTTACAATTCCTGGCAGTCACACAAGATACTAGATGGAGTAGTTTTTGTTGTGGGGTGTATTCATTTTTGCATCAACTAATTTGAGTAAACCTGAAGATTTTGTAATCTAAGTTATATTATTAACCTTACTTTCATGTAATGAGCTAAACAAATGTTCTAAAGAACTCAGTTTTGTCAAAATTTTGAAAATTGTTCTTGTGTTCATTGAGATATTGATTAAAATCTTACTTTTCAAAAGGGCTGTACTCGTTTATGCTGAGCACTGTATATGCATATATATACACGCACAATAAAAACTACCACACCTTGCCCTTCCCATTTTAACTATGGCCCCATCAAACCTCAGACCAGCAGGCGACCACTTTCAAGGAATGTGGCCTACATTGGGAGATGCCATCATTCTTCACTGACCCAATGGGCCATAGAGTAAAATGCATATGTTGCTTTATCTCCATAAGCTGAAATGGAGAATTTAGCCAGGAAACTAAGGAAAGGAAGCCAAAGTGAAACTAAATCAGAGAGGGGCACATACATTAAGAATCTTTTCAGTTTCTGAAAGTAATAGGCTCTTAGGCTGGACTTTTTCTTTTAAGAGTTTGAAATGCAATACAATTTATTTTTAAAAAACATAATTAATCTTCACCAGCCATATGACTTTAACTTACCAATGTTGGCTTCTGCTAGAATAAGGTATACGGGCACTAGTTCTACTGATGTCAGCCCGTATACATCTATACTAAAAGACAGAGCATGGGTGGCTGCTGGAATTACATCCACATGGCGCCCTTCATACAAGAGTCTCTGAGCTTCCTTTGTGGTCAGGTCAATCAAGTGTTTCTGCAAAGAGAAGATTTACTGAGTTTACCGTCTATTAGTCTATGTATATAAGTCATATCAATTCCCCTGTCAAACAGCTAGAAAACTAGATGAAATACATATATAGGAACAGTTTTTTTTTTATGTCAAGGGATATAAACTTACTGTGTATCAAGTATACACTATCATTGCTAGCCATAAGAAGATTGGAAACACTGCCTAAAACTCTGCAGACCCCGTACAAGGCTCTAACTCTTCTTCTACTACTAATGCACATGTTCACTCCACCTTCTCTTCATACTGTAAGCTATTGAACCATCTCTCACTCTGAGTTTCAAGGAACACACTGGTGAATTAAAGGGGGTTTATTTATTGACCTGGAGCTGTGTTTATATATGATTTCGCTCATAGCCACTTGACCCCCAGGCCAATTCTGTAATTCCTCTCCTACATGCAAACATCTGCTTTTTTTTCTAGAAAATTATTTAGAACCCCGAAACATTATATATTTTTAAGCAGAAGCCCTAGAGAATAAAATGGTGGGTTTTGCAATTTCTTTATGTCACATAGTATTTGCACAGCAGTTTTTCAAAAGCAATTTTTTGGGGAAAAAATACACTATAATGAATTTTATGCACATAAACATAGTATAATATCCAATTGTTTGGTAAAATAGAAAAGATGATGTTATGCCAAGTAAATAGATACCTAACATGTCAAGCTTTAAAATTGTGCATGCTCGTGAAATGGCGACTAATTATGGTACTTTAAAATCTCGATAGGTGAAGCTTTAAAAGCCTTTATAGGTTATCAGTGTAGATGGTGTGAGCACCATTTACATATGTGTGCATGACCTATGTATGCATTCACCTTTGCGCAAGAGCATGAGGGGGACAAGGGCGGTTTTAAATTCTTTATATATTATTTATTTATTTTTAATTAAAACACGGTCTCTTTATTTTTTTATCACTTTTATGGCTATAACAAGGGATAAACAATACCCCTTGTGGTAGCTGGAGCTACCAGCAAGTCCTCTTTATAGAGAGATCTGAGGTCTATTAGACCTCAGATCTCTCCTCTGCCCTTCAGAGCATCAGATCAAACCCAGTCCAGTTTGTTCTAATGCTTTCACAGGCCAGGCAACAGTCTGATTACATTAGACCGATACTGGAAGTGACGGAATACTGCTTGCTTCTGGTTTCTTAGACCAGGTGTCACCAAACTTGAACTAGGGTTAGTGGGAGTATAAAATGTCCTGGCGTCCAGTGGGAGTAAACAATGCCATATCTTTGGTGTCAGTAGGAGGACTAGTGCACCATCATTGGTGTCAATGAAAAGAATTCTGCCCCATCTTTGGTGTCAGTGGGAGGAATAGTGCTCCACTGTTGGTGTCAATGGGAAGAATAGTGGCTTATCATTGGTATTAATAGAAGGAATTATGTCCCATCTTTGGTGTCAATGGAAGGAATTGTGCCCCATCGTTTGTGTCAGTGTCCCCTTTTTTTGGTGACAGTGGGAGAAATAGTGCCTCATTTTTTAGTGTCAGCAACAGGAATGATGCCCCATTGTTGGTGTCAGTGGATGAAATAATGCCCCAAGGGCCAGATAAGGCCAAGCAAAGGGCCACAGCTTGGAGGCTGCTCTCTTAGACCATAGAGATGATTGGGGACATTCTGGCCCTCTGTCATTCAGTCTCAGGCTCCTCTATTCTACCAGAGACCCCATCCCACCGCATGTAAAAGCAATTGCTTTTACCTTCTTCAGCATGGCTGGCTGAAAAAAAAGGACTCAAATAAAAAAAAAGGACACCAGGGTCATGACTGCAGCTGCAGCCACAACCCTGTTATAACCTTGGATATATTAAACTATTCGTGATCCTTCCTTACCAGGGGCGAACTGACAACTCATGGGGTCCCCAAGCAATAGGAGATCATGGGGCCCCTGCGTCCTCGCCTACACTCAAACCACTCCCAAAAAAGCCTATGAAAGGTACCAGCGGCATCTCATGGGGTCCCCTACTGACCCCGGGCCCTCAGGCAGTGCCCGAGTTCTCAAATGGTCAGTCCGCCCCTGTTCCTTACATCAACTTTCTGTCAACCTTTGTACACCAGTGAACATTTCAACCTAGCCTGAGGTCAGTAAAATTAGTAAGCGGAAGCAACTTTATGTGCTGAAATAGGAACGGTAGATTTAGAGTGAAGGACACAAATCCTATTTGCAATGTCATTCTATAGCCTATGGTGTTGGGCAGGGCAGGAGTTTATACAGCACAAAGAGATCAGGCCGAGATCACACTTGTGAGGAGGTATAGCTGAGACATCCCTAGAAAAATAATTGCAAGCTTAGAAAATAGAGGTCCCATTTTTCAGGATATAGATATACTGTACATGTAGAATGGGGCACTTTGCAGAATGAAGAAATGGCTGCAATTAGTCTGAAATGTTCATGGGTAGGCAGTGCTTGAAAAAAAAAAGATTTCTATCCTTTAGCTCTTCTTATAGGACATTTTTCAGAATAGAGGTAAGGGAGCTGCCATTGCTGCCCTATTTTTGAAGATTTAGTGGCTGCTATCTTTACAGATGCATGTAAAACCACTTGTAGTCATCCTGCCTTAAAGCAGAGCTTTACCCATATTAACTTGATAAAAAATAATGTTCTTTAGCAAGGAACATACATTCCACATTAATAATGACGCTACCAAAATTAGTGTGTGCTGTAAATTGCCTCCAGCATTGTTCCTGTTTCTGCTTACTGGAGGCTGCCATTTAGCTGATGCCCAGAGCCCCTGAGCAACAGTAAATCTTTAGGCTGTCTGCAGATCGACCTCTACATTTTCAGCACAATGCTGAAAAATAGAGAGCAGCATGTGCAGAGCAGGGTGAGTATTACTGCATTGTTAACAGTATAGGCACTTATTTTTAATGTTTTACATAGTTATACCTGCAAACGTGGCCAGCCTGAACTGATCTAGCGGGACTGGATTTTCTTACTGAAGTTCCACTTTAACCGCTTGCCGCCCTGCCACTGTGTATATACGTGTGCAGGGCGGCAGTGGAGCGCAAAACCACGTTTAAAAAAACGGGTTCCACGCTCCCCGACACTTTCGCCGGCAGGGGGCGCGCGCGCGCGCGCTCCCGCCGACCCGCGGGTGACACTATTTGATCCAGGAGGGATCAATCATTAGATTTCAGCCAGTGATTTCTGGCTGAAATCACATGATCGGTCCCTGTCCTATCCTGTCCTGTGTTGACATACACAGGGCAGGATATGATGTCATTCTTCTCTGCCTGGACACATTCCGTTCCAGACAGAGAAGAAGACATCCAAAAAGTGAGTACACAAGCACTACACTACAGTTAGAACACTCTAGGACACATTTAACCCTCTGATCGCCCCCCCCCCCCTCCAGTTAACCCTTCACTGCCCTGTCACCAGTGTTACTGATCAGTGAAGCGATTTTTACTGATCAGTGTCGCTGGCGACTTCCGATAGAGTTAGCGCCCCTCCCAGATAGCGCCAGATTGCCCGCCAGTACACCAGTAATCCCGTTTAACCCCCCCTGATCGCCCCCCCCCTCCAGTTAACCCCTTCACTGCCCTGTCACCCAGTGTCACTGATCAGTGAACCAATTTTTACTGATCACTGTATCAGTGTCGCTGGCGACTTCCGATAGAGTTAGCGCCCCTCCCAGATAGCGCCAGTTTGCCCGCCAGTACACCAGTAATCCCGTTTAACCCCTTGATCGCCCCCCCCCCCCCCCAGTTAACCCCTTCACTGCCCTGTCACCCAGTGTCACTGATCAGTGAACCAATTTTTACAGATCACTGTATCAGTGTCGCTGGCGACTTCCGATAGAGTTAGCGCCCCTCCCAGATAGCGCCAGATTGCCCGCCAGTACACCAGTAATCCCGTTTAACCCCTTGATCACCCCCCCCCCCCAGTTTAAACCCTTCACTGCCCTGTCACCAGTGTCACTGATCAGTGAACCAATTTTTTTACTGATCACTGTATCAGTGTCGCTGGCGACTTCCGATAGAGTTAGCGCCCCTCCCAGATAGCGCCAGATTGCCCGCCAGTACACCAGTAATCCCGTTTAACCCCTTGATTGCCCCCCCCCAGTTAAACCCTTCACTGCCCTGTCACCCAGTGTCACTGATCAGTGAACCAATTTTTACTGATCACTGTATCAGTGTCGCTGGCGACTTCCGATAGAGTTAGCGCCCCTCCCAGATAGCGCCAGTTTGCCCGCCAGTACACCAGTAATCCCGTTTAAACCCCTTGATCGCCCCCCCCCTCCAGTTAACCCCTTCACTGCCCTGTCACCCAGTGTCACTGATCAGTGAACCAATTTTTACAGATCACTGTATCAGTGTCGCTGGCGACTTCCGATAGAGTTAGCGCCCCTCCCAGATAGCGCCAGATTGCCCGCCAGTACACCAGTAATCCCGTTTAACCCCTTGATCACCCCCCCCCCCAGTTAAACCCTTCACTGCCCTGTCACCAGTGTCACTGATCAGTGAACCAATTTTTACTGATCACTGTATCAGTGTCGCTGGCGACTTCCGATAGAGTTAGCGCCCCTCCCAGATAGCGCCAGATTGCCCGCCAGTACACCAGTAATCCCGTTTAACCCCTTGATTGCCCCCCCCCAGTTAAACCCTTCACTGCCCTGTCACCCAGTGTCACTGATCAGTGAACCAATTTTTACTGATCACTGTATCAGTGTCGCTGGCGACTTCCGATAGAGTTAGCGCCCCTCCCAGATAGCGCCAGTTTGCCCGCCAGTACACCAGTAATCCCGTTTAACCCCTTGACCCCTTGATCGCCCCCCCCCAGTTAACCCCTGCACTGCCCTGTCACCAGTGTCACTGATCAGTGAACCAATTTTTACTGATCACTGTATCAGTGTCGCTGGCGACTTCCGATAGTGTTAGCGCCCCTCCTAGATAGCGCCAGTTTGCCCGCTAATGCACGGGATTTTTTTTACCAAAAACATGTAGCAGAATACATTTTGGCTTAAATTTATGACTAACTTTGAGTTTACGATATATTTTTTATAGCTGAAAGTAGAAAATATTGTTTTTTTTTTTTTCAAAATTTTTGTGTTTTTTTTTGTTTATAGAGCAAAAAATAAAAAGTGCACAGGTGATCAAATACCACCAAAAGAAAGCTCTATTTGTGTGAAAAAAAACGGACGTAATTTTCGTTTGGGTGCAGCATTGCATGACCGCGCAATTATCATTTGAGTTAGTGCAGCGCTGTATAGCAAAAAAAGGCATAAATTACAGTATCTATACCATAGTTTGTAGACGCTATAACTTTCACACAAAGCAATCAATATACACTTATTGGGATTTTTTTTACCAAAAACATGTAGCAGAATACATTTTGGCTTAAATTTATGACTAACTTTAAGTTTACGATATATTTTTTATAGCTGAAAGTAGAAAATATTGTTTTTTTTTCAAAATTTTTGTGGTTTTTTTGTTTATAGCGCAAAAAATAAAAAGCGCACAGGTGATCAAATACCACCAAAAGAAAAGCTCTATTTGTGTGAAAAAAAGGACGTAATTTTCGTTTGGGTGCAGCATTGCATGACCGCGCAATTATCATTTGAGTTAGTGCAGCGCTGTATAGCAAAAAAAGGCATAAATTACAGTATCTATACCATAGTTTGTAGACGCTATAACTTTCACACAAAGCAATCAATATACACTTATTGGGATTTTTTTTTTTTTTTTCGCCAAAAACATGTAGCAGAATACATTTTGGCTTAAATTTATGACTAACTTTGAGTTTACGATATATTTTTTATAGCTGAAAGTAGAAAATATTGTTTTTTATTTTTTCAAAATTTTCGTGGTTTTTTTTTGTTTTTATAGCGCAAAAAATAAAAAGCGCACAGGTGATCAAATACCACCAAAAGAAACCTCTATTTGTGTGAAAAAAAGGACGTAAATTTTGTTTGGGTATAGCATTGCATGACCGCGCAATTATCATTTGAATTAGTGCAGCGCAAACAGCAAAAAAAGGCCTGGTCATTAAGGGGGGTAAATCCTCTGGGGCTCAAGTGGTTAAGCTGAAGTGACCCTCACTAAATTTAGTGCTGTATGCAGCTAGGTTGTATTCAGCCTGAGCTTTGCTTATAGTTTCTGTGCTTGCTAGGTTTCCCCTAAGTTTAGGATATTGATTATTCCGGCCTACTGTTGTTGAGTTGTTTCCAGTAGTTAGTGTGAGAGGTAACAGTAAAAATTATGCTGAGACACACAATCCACAACTATGAAGATAGGAAAGGATAAACAAATAAAAAGTAATGTAGCAATTGGGAAATAATGATCTGTCAGATGGGTAATAAAGTAACCATAGATTGCCTACAAAATTATCTAGAATGAGGGGTAACAATGTAATACCAAAATTCAAAGTGTAGCTGGTTACATAAACAAAACAGAAAGAGAGGGGCACCAACAGCCTCACTGTGCAGTTAAGTCTTTTATTAAAGAGTGAAATAAAAACAATGTATAGTGCAATCACAATTGGAGGGGTGGTAGAAGGCTTTGAGATTGAGAATTCTCTAGCTTTAGTAAATAATCCCCATTCTTTTTACTCCACTTTATAATATTAGACATGTCTATGCTATGAGGCTGTTGGTCCCACTCTCTTTCTTTTATCTGAAAGGTAACAATGTATTGAGTTGTGAATATGTATCTGTCTTGGCTAATCATTGAGGGGTTTGGTCCAGAAATGTGAGTTGAGGGAAGATGATACATTTTTGGTGCCACTTTTTAGAAGGGTCATCCCTGCTGGGTGTTTGCCAGGTGAAGATGCTGATGTAAGGAGGCCTTGCTAAAGCCTAAGGAACTCAGGTTGCTTTGCTGGAGGGTAATTCAGGAAAAAGATATAATATGAAAGATGACTATCTGGAGCATTTTAGGGAAAATCTACTCTGGAAGATGGTTACTTACATGGACAATCTTACAAACAAAAAAAAACAACTCTGGAAGATGATTATATGTATGGACAATCTTAGGAAAAAATCTACTCTGGATGATGGTTACCTGTATGGACAATCTTAGGAAAAATCAGCTCTGGAAAATGGCTACCTGTATTGACAATCTTAGGAAACGTTTGCTCTGAGTGATGGTTACCTGTATGGACTATCTTAGGATAAATCTACTCTGGAAGATGGTAGATGGTTACCTTTATGGACAAACTTAGGAAAATCTGCCACAGATCATAGCTACTTGTATGGGGCATATTAGGATAAATCTACTCTGGATGATGGCTAACTATATGGGGCATTTTAGAAAGAAAATCTGCTCTGGAAGATTGCTACCTCTATGGAAGCTCTTAGTCAAATCTGCTCTGAATAATGGCTACCTGTATAACACAGAGAAAATCTACTTTGGAACATATCTACTTGTATGGAGTATCTTAGGGAAAATCTGCTCTGGACAATGGCTACCTGCATGGAGCATCTTAGGGAAAATCTGGTATATACCATAACTACTTGTATTGAGTATCTTAGATAATATCTACTCTGCTGCTCTGGAAGATGGCTACTGTTGGAACATCTTAGGGAAAATCTACTATAGAAGATAACTACCTTTATGGAGCACCTTCAGACAAGTCTGCTGTGTTAAAGAGTGTCCTGGAGAGCTTGGCAGATGCTGCTACTAGGGGGATATTGTGCAGAGACCACATTGCTCAACATTTTAAGGTGCCTATGACTGCTCACATAGGCTCAAGGCCAATTGCAATTAGCAGTCTATTTTAAACAGCCAGTAAAAATTTTGCTGCCACTAGAAGGTCTGAGATATTTTGCTAGATTTTGGGAATCCTATTCCCCTAACCTTTAGTCCAGCATTTAAGGAGTAACAATCTTTAAAAAATACCAAAATGAAAGCAGTCCATCTGTTTGTTTTACCCTACAATAATCCAACTACCCACCCCGAGATGGTAAATCCTAGCCTGCCACACTACTTTGGAGGCCATTCTACATTTCCCTGGAGAGAAAAGTGCTGCACACTCGCAGTGAGAATAATAGATAGTTCCTGTATAATCAGACACATAAATTGATTGACCCATCTCTGTTACCTTCCTCTGTAATAACTGCTCTGCAGAATGAGCCCTCTCTTCCGCTGAGGTCAGGAATGGGAAGGCTGCCCGTACAGGGATCAGAAGTTGGCATATCTTCTCATGAATACTGGTCCAGTCTGCCCGCTGGTGGTCTGCATCGCTGGAGAATAAAGTGTTCAGCTTTAAATCTGGACTCCAATAAGTATCACTTGAATCTAAACCAAATGAACAACATAATCCCTAATACCATTTTAGGGAAAATGGCATTGCCCTGCCAACCAACTACCCCTTCTCAAAAAAAAGACAACATATAAGAAACAAAGCATGAGGCCATTTCATACTAGTAATCCTGGCACTGATGACAACCTCCTAGCAGAGATTGCTAGAAGACCACTTACCTTCTCTTATGTTGCCCTTCCCTCTCTGGATGAACCAGAGATGTTGCTCCAATGCTCCTCCTTCCCTTGTAAAGGGAAGGCATTTTGGCCTGTGAGTGAGCAATTTTAATTAGGAAAGGGGTTATCTGTTCTTCTGTGATGCTGCTTCTGGTCTCAGGCTCACCAGTGTGACATGACCCATGCAATGCTTAATACCTACAGAAATATCCACTGTATTCTGTCTGCCTTTATTATAGTGAATTTCAAGATGTTGTCATTTGCAAGGATCTTTTCTGGTGTTTTTCAATGTTTTTCAACTAATAGCATCCTTTGAGAATATACAAAAAAAGGACACATCTGATTTTTAGGGTGTGCTGGTGGCCCATTAATTTTAATGTACTGCTTCAGTGCAATGCATTTGAACATGCAACATGCGATAACACACTACAAAAATGTCAATGAACCATCTTTAGCTATGATGATTGGCAAGGACCGAAAAGTATAAAAGTTCTGGCCAAAAGGTCCAGCCCAGGAGGCAGGTGTGAAAAAAGCATGTATGGGTGCTGTGACCAAGGTGCCATACTAAACAAAAAGTGATTTGCCCTCACCGTGAATTTCTGGCATCCTGGAACACAGGGGCACAAGCACCACGGGTGAGGCACCAGTATTGGCGTATCAGCACTGATTTCTCCCAGCGCACACCAGCAGCTGTGCAATTAGCGTGTCTTGCTGGTGTGAATGAGCCCAGACAGGAGAGCAGTATAGCGAAAGCTATAGAAGTCACCATTGATCAGCACTTGAAAATGCTAGCTACCAATGAATGCAAAAATAAAAATGCCTGTGGTGCTCAATTAACTTCAAGCAGGACCAGAGTAAGAGCATCGTGGGCCTGATGCTAAGGATTTTGGTGGGCCTTTTTATGGAAATAAAAAAAAAAGAAAACTCAAACTATTTATTGTTAAAATAAAGGGGGGTGAATAAGAGAGGGGGTGAGACAGAGAGGTTGGGTGAAAGAGAAAGGGGGTGAGAGAGAAGGGGGGAAAGGGAGAGAGGGGTGAGAGAGAAGGGAGACAAGAGAGAGGGGGTGAGAGAGAGGGGGGGGGTGGACAGACAGAGGGGGGATGAAAGAGAAAGGGGGTGAGAGAGAAGGGGGATAAGAGAGAGGGGGTGAGAGAGGGGGGGAGACAGATAGGGGGGGTGAGACAGAGGGGGGGGATGAAAGAGAAACGGGGTGAGAGAGAAGGGGAGATAGAGAGGGGGGGTGAGAGAGGGGGGGTGAGACAGATAAGACAGAGGGTGGGGATGAAAGAGAAACGGGGTGAGAGAGAGAGAAGGGGGATAAGAATTAATCTGGCCCTGCCTCCAAGAATCACACAGCAACAACAAAAGCCCAGTGTAACAATGAATTCTGGGAGCTGACATAAACTCTAGCAGAACAGAAAGAGGATATTGTGTAACAAATTGTAACACCAAACACTCTGCACAGAGACAATAATAACCGTGTATCCAAATGGCTCAGAAAGGAAAATAGAAAGTAATAGGATAAACAAATAATACAAAATGATTGGAAAATACAAATATATTTATGTAAGAGAGTAAATGGAAATGTGAAACAATTTCTGGAGGTATAGCTAGGTCTAGACATAGATAACTAATCAGTCTGAATCCATGCGGCCTTCTCAGATCAGGATGGGGACCCGGATTCTGTGAAGACACAAAGGGAAAGGAGAGGCCATGCTACACTATATAGCTGCTTGGCACCCCTCTCCTTTTCCCTTTGTGTTCTTGAAAATACTAGTTGCCTGGCTGTCCTCTGTCTTTAATACTGAGTACCTGACCTGGAACAGTCCTGCGGCTTAAGAAGCGTGAAGTCAGAACTCCTGATCTGCATACTAAGGTTTGGATCACAGTTGTGCGCCCCATGTTCTATGGGTAGGACAGCCCATTTCTGCACGCTTTTTTTTTTGTGTTTTTCACACAACGTGTAAAACACACATACAAACCTTTTTAGTGCATTTTTGTCAGAGTTTTGTGTAAAAATCCAGCCAAAAATGCACAAAGTTGCACTACAAAAACGCACTAAGGCTGGCATCATCATGCAGCAGCACTAAAGTGAACCTAGACTTTGGCTACATTCACACATGTGCGGGTCAGGAACACTTACAAAATCGCAGGCATTCCCGACCCACAGGCAAACAACGCTGCTCTTTTTATTGGACACAAAGGGGTGACATTATTTCTTAAGGCTGCATTCACATCTGTGTATTCAAGGAATGCGCTCAGAAATGTGCTTTTCCATGTGCGTTCCCAGAATGAAAAATGTGCGCAAAACACCAGTTGTGCTTGCAGTGCCATTAATTCCTAATGGCACCCCAAACTCGTGAAGCTCTATGCCAGAAAGGTGTAGAATCTGCCAAAAACACACTACAAATGTGCGTACATGCATTTCAGATGCACTTTACATGCATTCCCATTGAAGTCTATGGGGCAAAAAAGTGCACAGCATTGCACCACAAGAAGCACTTGCACCTTTTCAAAACCTGCACTGTACTGTGCAAACAGGCACCATAGAGAATGATGTAACTTCCATTGTTCTGCATGCACAGTGATGGCAAACGCAGGAGGAAATGCACTGGTGTGAGTGTGGGCTAAGCCCAGGTTCACATATGTGTGGGTCAGGTGGATGCACATGATGATCGCACACTTTCCCAACTCACAGGTAAAAAGTGCTCTCTTTATTAGATGTGTGGATTGCCATTCATTCTTAATCCCCCTGCCCGGCACATTGGAAAATTTAGCATTTTCATGTGTATAGTGTTCTGTGTGGCACGATCTTAGAAAAGGTTCAGGGACATTTTTTACCTGCGTTTCTTATGGATACAGAAGCCTGCTCCTATGAAGGGGCAGCTGTAGCAGTGATGTGCGTGCGCAAACACGTACGCAATAGTGTGATCCTAGAGCGTGAGTGTACTGAAGCATCATGGGGTTGGGAAGGACAACCAGAATCAGTCTGCTGGCATCACAATCATACAGATTCAGTTCTCTACCTGCCCACGCTGTCCAGTCTTGCCTGTCCTGCCTTGCCCTTCCGTGTCATGTCCTACCCTGTCCTGTCCTACCCTGCCCTGTCCTACCCTGCCCTGTCCTGTCCTGCCTTGCCCTTCCCTGTCCTATGTCCTACCTGCCTGCCCCTGTCCTCTCCTACCCTACCCTACCCTGCCCTGTCCTGCCCTCCCCTACCCTGTCCTGTCCTCTTCTACCCTACCCTACCCTGCCCTGTCCTGCCCTCCCCTACCCTACCCTGGCCTGTCCTACACTGCCCTGCCCTGTCCTCTCCTACCCTACCCTGCCCTGTCCTTCCCTGTCCTACGCTGCCCTGTCCTCTCCTACCCTACCCTGCCCTGTCCTGCCCTCCCCTACCCTGTCCTGTCCTCTCCTACCCTACCCTGTCCCTGTCCTACGCTGCCCTGTCCTACCCTGCCCTGTCCTGCCTCTCCTACCCTACCCTGCCCTGTCCTGTCCTACCCTGCCCTGTCCTACACTGCCCTGCCCTGTCCTCTCCTACCCTACCCTGCCCTGTCTGCCCTGTCCTACGCTGCCCTGTCCTACCCTACCCTGCCCTGTCCTGCCTCCTCCTACCCTGTCCTGTCCTCCTCCTACCCTACCCTGCCCTGTCCTACGCTGCCCTGTCCTACCCTGCCCTGTCCTACCCTGCCCTGTCCCTGCCCTCCCTACCCTGCCCTGTCCTGTCCCCTACCCTGCCCTGTCCTGTCCTCTACCCTACCCTGCCCTGTCCTACCCTACCCTGTCCTACGCTGCCTCTGTCCTACCCTACCCTGTCCTCTCCTACCCTACCCTACCCTGTCCTCTCCTACCCTACCCTGCCCTGTTCTCTGTTACCCTACCCTCCTCTCAACCCTTCCCTGTCCTCTCCAACCCTGCCCACACACTGATTATATGGCTGCACATGTGCCTGCTCTGTACATACCAGTAATAAGTGACCTTACAGCCCGGGCATTGAATGTAGGCGGGGCTGTGGCACAGCTCACACACCAGCTTCACCCCCTTGGCGTTGGATAGGGGGTTCACACTCGCCATCTGAGGTCCAGGAGTCACACTGTCACCCGGAGGTACCGTTGCTATGGACTGACAGGTCAACAGATCGGTTGTTAGGGAGTGTGGTCACATGCGCCCTCTGCTGGACGTACGAGGAATGGCATGCTGATGAATGGAGGGTGTTCAGTTACGCTCTCCCTTGTTTACCAGCACAGCAATGTACACATCACCCATAGAAATCACCCGGCGCAGCAATGTACACATCACCCATAGAAATCACCCGGCGCAGCAATATACGCACCATCCATAGAAATCACCGGGCGCAGCAATACACATCATCCATAGAAATCACCCGGCGCAGCAATGTACACATCATCCATAGAAATCACCCGGCGCAGCAATGCACACACCACCCACAGAAATCACCCGGCGCAGGAATCAGGGGCTTGTGTCTCACATACACACATTCTCTATTTGTTTTTAGATTAAATCTAAATTTCCAACTACTGTGCTGTTTGATTGTGATGACATCACGTATACAAATGAAGCTTGTTAGAAACTTTTCTGTGTTCACACTTGTGCGTCTGTGTTTTTATTATTATTATACAGTATTTATTAAGCGCCAATAGTTCTCTCAGCGCTGTACATTACAAAGGGGGACAGAACAATACCAATACAATGCAAAACATGAGGGGATTGAGGGCCCTGCTCTTTCATGGGGTTTTCTTGTGTGCTTTTCTAACCCCTTCTCACTGCTACAAACCCCCCATCCCAGCCTTTTAAAAGGATATAAGGCTGCATTCACACTTCAGCGTAGCAAATCTGAGAGGCTTTTCACGTTTTTTTTTTTGATTTTTTGCTGCCATTTTGCACATTTTCAGAATGTTTTTATGCGTTTTTGAGCTTTGGCATTTTTTATTAGTCAATAGAGAAAAATATATCTGTAGTGAATAAATGTAAAATAAAAACACAAACAAATAAAAATAATCATAAATAATAAATAAACAAATACAATAAATGAATACTATGTAAAAATACATAGATAATTAAACCCTGACCTTAACCCCCTAACCGCTAAAAATAAATAAAATAAGAATAATAATAATAAACACCCTAACCCCAACACAAAATAAATTATTATTATTAATATTATTATTATTATTATTATTATTATTATTAATATTCATTTATTTTGGTTTGGGTTATTATTATTATTACTAATAATTTATTTCTTCTCAGAAAACACTGTATTCATGTAATGTACCCAATCACAACTGAAAGTGGAACAATACTCACCTCAGCTCTAGAGATGTGGAGTCCCCGAGCTCCCCACCCGACCGCTGACATTGGCTGGGTGGGGATGACATCACTTTCATGCACGCAGTCAGATTCGGTATGACTGAATTTGCACAGCGAGCTGCGTGTGCGTGGCTCACTGTACGAGGCGGACAGGCAGGTAAGTAGCTTTAATGCAGAAAAGACAAAGCAAGTCTCTTCTGTATTAAAAATCCTGCCTGTCTGCCAATTCTATTTCACTAGCCTAAAGTTCCACTTTAAAGTCCTTTGAAAAAGTCCAGGTTCCCATTGCAGTTTGTCTCTTAAAAGCTCATCTTTTTTCAGCTGTCAGTTTGTATAAACTTTTGGTGCAACCAGGGGTGGACTGACTACTCATGGGGCCCCTGGGCAATAGGGGATCATAGGGCCCCTGTGCCCTCTCCCACAATGAAACCACACCCAAAAAAGCCTATGAAAAGGTACCAGGGGCATCTCATGTGGCCCCCTACTGACCCAGGGCCCTCGGGCAGTGCCCGAGTTCCCAAATGGTCAGTCCGCCCCTGGGTGCAACTTACATCGGCATAATGTACAGTAGAGACGGTCTTCTCCATTTAGCAGCTAAGGGTTGCCATCCCATCCCTTTAAAACCGAACACCAAATCTGTGGCTGATTAAGGTGCTAATGAAACTCACTTAGTGCCTTGTTTGGATTATATTAGCTTCAGAACCTGCGGAATTAATATGTGTTTGGATTTCAAGGGATGAGGTGGCAATCCTACTAGCTGCCAATGTGCAAACTACTTAGTTCAATGTTATCCCACTAGAGGGCGCGCACGAGAAAACTCCCAGAAACCTGGGAGGGGGGCCCCAAAGTTTCGACTGCCTAGGGGCAGGATTTCCAATCATGTGACCACTATGATTGGCTGTGGCAGGTAACAACGATCAATATTCCCATTGCACGCATGTAGGCGGAGCCTAAGTTACGCACCTTTCTACCTCTCTTGGGAGGAATCACATGCACACAGTTTATAGTGGACAGTCGCAATGTCCTTGACAACAATGAGTCACAGCTGTCAGCAGATTCCCTGCTGACAGCTGCATGTAAACAAAACAATTGATGGCAATGAAAAATTACACGAAAAACAACGTGGGGGTCCCACCCCAATCCTTACCCCAGGTCTGGTATTGATTTTAAGTGAAACCCATCATCATTTTAAAAAAAAAGGTGTGGGGTTCCCCCCAAATCCATACCAGACCCTTAGGCTTAGTATGGATTTTGAGTGCAACCCCCCATCCCAAAATATAGAAAAAATGTCATGGGGGTCCCCCCAAAACCCATGCCAGACCTTTATCTGAGCATGCAGCCTGGCAGGCCAGGAAAGGGGGATGATGAGTGAGTACCCCCGAACCCTCTCCTGAATCATAACAGGCCACATGCCCTCAACATGGGGAGGGTGCTTTGGGGCAGGGGGCTCCCCCCAAAGCACCTTGGTTGGTGGTTGTGAGGGTCTGTGGGCAAGGTGCTTATCAGAATCTGGAAGCCCCTTTAACAAGGGGGCCCCCAGATTTCGTCCCCTCATGTGTATGAGTAGGGGTGTATATAGGACCCCTACTCATTCACAAAAAAAAGTGTAGTGTAAACAAACATAGGAGGCAGGTAGGTAGCTGGCATTCATCGTGACTGACGCTGGATCTACTCCGGGGGAAATTTTTTTTCATTTTTGTTTTTTTAACGAAGGACTTGTCAAAAACTGCCTCCTATGTTTACTGTATTTACACTACACTTTTTTGGTGAATGAGTAGGGATACCCCATACTCATTCACATGGGGGGTGGGATTTGGGGGCCCCCTTGTTAAAGAAGGCTTCCAAATTCCATTAAGTCCTCCACCCGCAGACCCCCACAACTACATGCCAGGGTTGTGGGTAAGAGACCAACATGAGGGCATGTGGCCTAGAATAGTCTGGGAGAGGGAGGGGGCGCTCTTTTCCAGGCTTCATGATCGGATAAGATTCTGGTATAGATTTTGGGGATGACCCCCCATACTCATTTTTTTTTAAATTTGATATATGGTTGCCCTCAAAATCTTACCAGACCTAAGGGTCTAGTATGGGTTGGGGGGGGGGGGGGGGGGGCATGCCATTTTTTTTTTTTTTTGTAATTTTGGCATGGATTCCCTTTAAAATCCATACCAGACCCAAGGGGTCTGATATGGATTGAGAGGGGACCCCCGTGCTGTTTTTTTTTTCCATCATTTTTAATTGCCAGCAATTGCTTTGTTTAAATTTAGCTGGAACCCCGCTGATAGCTGATGACTCATCGGTTGTTAAGGAGCCGTCCGCTCCTTAACAACCATGACAGATACTGGTTGTTAAGGATGCCGACAGCCGCCCACTCCTTAACAACGTGGTATTTACTACTGTTAATAAATATGCCGGCTACCGCCAGCTTTAAATTACCCCATGTTTTCACTACTAACATACTGCATGACTTCATAAAATAACTCATACGGTATTTTAGAAGCGTTTTTTAGTGAATGCCAAAAACTTTTTGAAAAACGCTATACAGTATTTCACCAAAAATTTTAATGAAGAAAATGCCGCTTTGTGAATGGAGCCCTAATTCCCTTATGAGAACCTGCTTCCCATGTTGTGATGACACAAGGTGGGAATACTACCTGCACCTGCCTACGCACATTTTTAGATTGGGCTGAGAAGTAAATGTAAGATCAGGGGCGGACTGATCATTTGAAAACTCGGGCACTGCCCGAGGGCCCGGGGTCAGTAGGGGGCCCCATGAGATGTCCTGGTACCTTTTTCATAGGCTTTTTTGAGTTTGGGCAAGGACACAGGGGCCCCATGATCCCCTATTGCTCGGGGGCCCCATGAGTTGTCAGTCCACCCCTGTGCAAGACCCTTTTGGCTGCACATGTAGGGATTTGATTCCCTGTACTGCCAACTGCCCATAGCTTCCTGAGTGTATTGCTGAATCCTTGGGACAAACAAATTATCTCTCTCCTATTACTATCTCACATGCAAAGTACCACACAACTAAGACTGTGTTCCAGGCTGGTTGGGTAACAGTTGGAGAGTCTCCTCATCATCACAGATCTTGTCTTCAGGTCTCTGACATAAAGACAGATGCTGCCTCATCCTCAGGGACCCATGCAACATTCATCTGGGGGTATCTTTATTAATGACAATATATACTCTGGCATATGTGCACAAATCTACCAGGGCTCCTATCAGGGCCTTTGCTGATAATACATGTGTGTACATTAGATGTATGTACTGTTATTAATCTCTTCTTATATAAAGCTTGTATTATTTTCATATTGGTGTGTATCTGTATACTTGTGGTTAATGTTATATGCTGGGTGCAGTCATTCTTCTGCTGTTTACTTTGATTACATTACTGATTCATTTCCCAGGAAGGGAATTCCCTCTGTTCACAGAGGCCCTGTCCTGGGTGGAGGCACTGCCAACTTTATTATCAAATTCACTCTTTCACTTAGCGAAGGTTCTGGTTCTCTTATCTGCCGACAGGTTTAGCGCAATATCCTGATTGGGGAGGGCCCCCCAGAAGAGGACCACACACTCTTCCATTGTGATATGATCACTTAGAATAAAAACTATTGGACATAATTTGAAGATCCATGGTGTGATGTTGCAGTGCAATGGTGTGAACTGAAACAATAGGGCATAATACAAATTGCTTTGCCTATGCAATGGGACTATGCCAAGCTACAATGCCCAAAGAGGCAGGTGTGGAAATTCTTATATAGTGACATTGTTTCATC